CGGGCACTGTGCCGCTGCGGCCCCAGGCGGCCTGGGGCCGGCACCGCCAACGGCCGGCGCCGCCGCCTGCAGCGCCGGGGAACTCTGGAGGACCCCATTGGGGAGGGGGCAATGCCACGGGTGGAGCTGGGGGCGCGGGAAATCTGGAACCCAAGGAGGTCTGAAGGACCTGGGGTCGGGGGGAAGTCTCGAGGACCCTTGGGCCACCACCTGCGCTCGGAGGAGCCGCCTCTGTCTTCGAGGGGCAGCCATGTCCTCGACGAAGTGATAGCTATACGGTGTGAGCTCTGCGGAGTAATCCCTGTTGTGTGAGCTAGATGGTGAAGGCTGTGTTGCGTGAGCTAGATGGCTTGGGCTATGCGGTGTGAGCTATGCGGTGCAGGCTATGTGTTGTGAGGTATGTTGTGACAACTGTGTGGTGTGTAAGCTTTATGATGTGAGCCATGGTACGTAAGGTCTGTGTTATGCAAGCTGTGGTGCGAGCTATGTTGTGCAAAGGATATAAAGTGTAAGCTATGCGGTGTGAGCTATGCCGCATAAGCTACATGGTGCGAACTGTGCACTGTGTGTGAGCTATGCGCTGCAAACTATGCGCTGCAAACTATGCGGACCCCACAGGGCGCCCAAGAAGCTTCGAGAAACCCGCCCAGCGCACGGGGCGCCCACGAGGCGCCCACGAGCGGGCACGGGCGCCAGCGTGGTGAAGACCTGCGGCAACCCGCCCGGCGCCCAGAGAGCCACCGAGGCGCGGACAGGCGGCCACGGGCGGGCACCGTAGCGAAACCTCCAGAGACCGGGAAACGCACCTAACGCACGGGGCGCCCACGAGCGGGCACGGGCCGCAACGTGGCGAAGCCCCGGGAGACCCACCCAGCGCACCGTGCGCCCACGCGGCGCCCACGCGAGCGAGAAGCGTCAACGTGGCGAAACCTCGGGCTCCCCACCGAGCGCACAGCGCCCACGAGAAGCCCACGAGCGGGAACGGGCGGCAACGTGGCGAGGACATGCGGCAACCCACTCAACACACGGCGCGCCAACCAGGCGCGTACGAGCGGGCACGGGCGCAAACGTGACGAAACATCCAGACATCCACCCAGCGCATTTAAGCGCCAACGAGGCGCCCACGAGCGGGCACGGGTGCCAACGTGACGAAACCTTGGGAAACCCACTCAGCGCACGGGGCGCCCACGAGGCGCCCACGAGCGGGCACGGGCGGCAACGTGGCGGAAACCAGGGAAACCCACATTATTACTAAAGGAAGCCAAGAGAGAATCCCACCAGCCCTTTGGGCGTGAGTGGTTTAGCGAGCTCTCTCTGTTCTCAACCCCCCTTCTTCCCCTTCGGGGAGGGGTTTACCCCTCCCCCTACCCCCTCCCCCTGGACCTGGAGAGGGGGTTTCGCGGGTGGTCAGAGGGTCCTTTTTCTATCCCTGGGAGGGCTAAAATTCGACACCCCTCACGAGGATCGTGGCCCCGACGGGGGTACTGACAAAAATGCTCGCCCCATCTGTGATCGATCGCCCGAAAGATGGCCCCAAGATACCTCCCAGACCCCTCCCAAAGAGCCCCAAGAGGCCCCAAGAGGCCTCCAAGAGGCCCCCAAGATGCCCCCAAGAGGCCCCCAAGAGGCCCCAAGAGGCTCCCCCGAGGCACCCAAGACGCTCCTGGAAGCCCCTGGAGCCGCCAAGAGGCCCCCAAGACGCCCCAAACGGCCTCCAAGAGGCTCCCAAGAGGCCCGAAGAGGCTCCCCCAAGGCACCCAAGACGCTCCTAGAAGCCCCTGGGGCCGCCAAGAGGCCCCCAAGACGCCCCAAAAGGCCTCCAAGAGGCTCCCAAAAGACATCTACTACTACTACTACTACTACTACTACTACTACTACTACTACTAATAATACTACTACTACTACTACTAACTACTACTACTACTACTACTACCACCACTACTACTACTAGTACTACTACTACTACTACTATTACTACTACTACTACTGCTACTACTACTACTACTACTACCACTACTACACAATCTACTACTACTACTACTACCACTACCACTACTACTACTACTAGTTCTAGTTCTAGTGCTACTACTACTACTACTACTACTACTACTACTACTACTCCTACTACGAGGGGCCCGAACGACTCGCACCAGGACGAGGTGCCCGAACGCCTCACACCACGAGGAGCCCGAACGACTCACACCAGGACGAGGGGCCCGAACGACTCACACCACGAAGAGCCCGAACGACTCACACCAAGAGGGGCCCGAACGACTCACACCAGGACGAGGCGCCCGAACGACTCACACCACGAGGAGCCCGAACGACTCACACCAGGACGAGGGCCCCGAACGACTCACACCACGAGGAGCCCGAACGACACACCAGGAGGAGGGGCCCGAACGACTCACACCAGGACGAGGGGCCCGAACAACTCACACCACGAGGAGCCCGAACGACTCACACCAGGACGAAGAGCCCGAACGACTCACACCACGAAGAGCCCGAACGACTCACACCAGGAAGAAGGGCCCGAACGACTCACACCAGGACGAGAGGCCCGAACGACTCGAACCACGAGAAGCCCGAACGGCTCACACCAGGACGAGGGGCCCGAACAACTCACACCACGAGGAGCCCGAACGACTCACACCAGGACGAAGAGCCCGAACGACTCACACCACGAAGAGCCCGAACGACTCACACCAGGAAGAAGGGCCCGAACGACTCACACCAGGACGAGAGGCCCGAACGACTCGAACCACGAGAAGCCCGAACGGCTCACACCAGGACGAGGGGCCCGAACGACTCACACCACGAGGAGCCCGAACGACTCACACCAGGAAGAGGGGCCCGAAGGACTCACACAAGGACGATGGGGCCGAACGACTCACACCACGAGGGGCCCCAACGACTCCCACCAGTCGTCGTCGTCGTCGTCGTCGTCGTCGTCGTCGTCGTCGTCGCCGCCGCCTTCGTCGTCGTCGTCGTCGACGTCGTCGTCGTCGTCGTCGCGGTTGTGGTCGTCGTCGTCGTCGCGGTCGATATCGTCGTCGTCGTCGGGTGCGTCGTCGTTGTTAGGATCATCGCTGTGGTCGTCGTCTCCGCTAAATCCCTCTTGCCTCCCACCGCTTTCTCTCCCTCCTCCTCCGCCTCGTCCTTCTCCCGCTCCCACCACAAGGAGGATGTACAAGGAGGCGGGAGGAAGGAGGAACAGGGGAGATATGCAGGGGCAAGCGGACACACGCCTGAAAAACACGACTGTCGGCATGCTTCGCAAGAGTTGCTGTTTTGAGATGGGCTGGTGGGGATACGCGAAGCGTGAAGAATCCCCAAGTACAATGCACCGTAAGGAGAAATGGCCCATAGGGCCGAAGCTGAATTGAAACCTCCCAGAAGTTGCAACCTCAAAGCAATGCCCACACATCCAATGTATTGAGCATACAATATGTTTCGTGTGTTTGGTCTCAGGGGTTACGCCAGGACCTGGGAACGTAATAAAACGAATCGGGGAAGGAGTCGGTGGTTCGGGGATCCCCGTTTTGACAAAACGACGCATCGGATCTCTGGGTAGTTGTTTAGAGGAACCAAAAGCGGTACAAACCCAAACTGTTGAAGTCCGCGCGGATTTCTTGGATCTGCGCTGGAACCCCCTCACTGGCGCGCAGAGCGCGCCAAAGGCGGCTCCGGAGGCGCAGACAAGGGATCCCAGCGCAGATCGCAGGATCCGCGCAAACCGTCGGGCGGTTTATCTTTATGCAGATTTTCCCAACCATCCTGCGGTGTTGGATCCTCGTGTTGGATCCTCCTCCTCTCCTCCTCCTCCCCCTCCCTCCTCTCATCCTTGCCTCTGCCCTCCGCATGTCAACCATTTCGGCGCACCCCTCACGAGGATCGTGGCCCCATAAGGAGCTCCGCCGAATGCCCCAGTGGCAGGGATCGCATGGAGGCGTCGGGCCATCTCGGCTAACCCCTCACAAGGATCGTGGCCACAGAAGGAGCTCCTCCGAAAGCCTCAGCGGCAGGGTTCATGGCGGTCTCGGGCGACTTCGGCGCACCCCTCACGAGGATCGTGGACCTATACGGAGCTCCACCGAAGGCCCCAGCGAGAGGGTTCGCATGGCGGCCTCGGGCCATCTCGGCACACCCCTCACGAGGACCGTGACCCCAGGGTGAGCTACATCGAAGGCCCCAGCAGCAGTGTTCACATGGCGGCCTCGGGCGATGTTAGCAGCCTCCTCACGAGGATCATGGTCCCATAGGGAGTTCATATGGCGGCCTCGGACGACTTCGGCGCACCCCTCACGAGGATCGTGGCCCAATCATGTGCTCCGCCACAGGCCCTAGCGGCAGGGCTCGCATGGAGGCCTGGGGCCATCTCGGCAAACCCTTCACGAGGATCGTGGCCCCGTAGGGACCACCACCGAAGGCGACAATGGCAGGGTTCGTATGGCGGTCTCGGGCGACTTCGGCACACCCCTCACGAGGATGGCCAGGGTGGTGGCCCCATACGGAGCTCCAGCGAAGGCCCCAATGGCAGGTTCGCGTGGCGGCCTCGGGCCATCTCGGCACAACCCTCACCAGGACTGTGGCCCCATAGGGAGCTCCGCCAAAGGCCCAAGTGGCAGGGTTCGTGTAGCGGCCTCGGGCCATCTCGGCAAACCCCTCACAAAGATCGAAGCCACATAAGGAGATTCGCCAAGGGCCTCATTGGCAGGGTTCGCATATCGGCCTCGGGCTATTTCGGCGCACCCTTCACGAGGACTGTGGCCCCCAGGGAGCTACACCGAAGGCCCCAGCGATAGGGTTCGCCTGGCGGCCTCAAGCGATTTTAGCACACCCCGCACGAGGATCGTGGTCCCATAAGGAGTTCACATGGCGGCCTCGGGCGACTTCGGCGCACCCCTCACGAGGATCGTGGCCCCATCAGGTGCTCCGCCACAGACTCCAGCGGCAGGGATCGCATGGAGGCTTCGTGCGATCTTGGCAAACCCTTCACGAGGATCGTGGCCCCATAGGGACCACCACCGAAGGCGACAATGGCAGGGTTCGCATGGCGGTCTCGG